TCATTGGGTTGTGGATAATGGTTTGTAAACCTGAAAGCACTTTGGAGGCAGGAGGAACTCTATTGCTGGGACTGTCAGATTGAGGCAGCTAGGCAGCTCAGTGAATAGAGTTGTGAACTTAGCATCAGCAAGATGACTCCAATCTGGCTTCAGAAACTTACTAGTCGGGAGAATCCTGGATGTCAATTGACCTTTGTCTGCCTCAATTACCTCATCGGTTAAATGGAACTAGTAATAGTACCTACCTCCCAGGGTTGTTGTAAACATAACATGAAATATTTGTAAAGTACTTTGTAAACTTTAAAGCACTAGATAAATGTTAGCTATTATTATTAATTGTTTTTCCTCAAAGCCTTAGTTTTAAAAAAGCCATTCAGCCCAGGAATACTGGACCTATCTCCTGTACTGCTGAACCTCCCTGGTTCTACTGCACTATGGGAAAAGCCTTGTCAGCCTCCCCTCTGGATCTCAGGCTTGACATGAGCAGCAGCTCTTGGATTTATCCCATAGAATGCCCATTACGGTTGATGAAAATGTTCAGTCCCAAAGCCTTGGGGATGAGGAATAGCCCGGGTAAGTCGAGCCTTAATTAATGCCAGCGGGACAGAGCGAGGGTCCAAGCAGCTCCTGTAAGCAGCCAATGTCTCTAATGATGCTCTTAGGAAGCCCGAGCTGGGGATGGAGCCTGCCCCAGAGACAGAGGCTGAGCATCTCCACTCCTGCCAAGATGTTTAAAGGAGTTATAAATCCAGCAGACACCGAAAACAGGCCCAAAAAGAAAGTCCTAACTGCTCCCCTGAGCCTGGGCAGGAAATAAATAAAGGAGATCATTATAGAAGGAACCAAATCAGGAAACGGGGCAGTTGCCAGCGAGCTGTATTTACAGCTAAATCAGAGAGACTTTAAACGAAGGAGAGCCTGCCCAGTCATCCCTGGTGCTTCTAGAAACTCAACACATTCCTGCCTATCATGTGTCCCTCCCTGCCTGACCGAGACTCATAATACCGGTCCTTCCAAGTCTGGGTGGAAGCTGTGGAGCTCAGGATGGCGATTAAGAGGAAGGAATGAAACAAGCAATTATAAAGTGCTTGCTAAGTGCTTTACAAGTATTATGTTCTTTGATCTTTACTACAACTCTGGGAGGTAGGTGCTATTATTATTCCTGTTTAACCATTGAGGAACAGAGATAGGCAGAGTTGAAGTGACTCACCCAGGTAGTAAGTGTCTGAGGTCAAAATTGAACTCAGGTCTTCCTAACTCCAGGTCTACCGAAGGAAGGATTTCCTAACAAAACAGCACAGGGGCAGCTAGGTGGCGCAGTGGATAGAGTACTGGCCCTGAAATCGGGAGGACCTGAGTTCAAATATGGCCTCAGACCAAATACTTGACACTGACTAGCTGTGTGACCCTGGGCAAGTCACTTAACCCCAATCGCCTCAAAATAAAAAAAAACAAAAAAGAAAAAAGTGAACTGACCTTCCCTAGTAAGTTGTTGTTGTTAGTTTTTCACTTTCAAAGAGGACCAATGATATCACTGGTGATGGCTTGACTTGCCCAGGAATTAGGAATTCTGCCCCTCAGCAAGTCTGGAAGCAGAGGCCAGGTGGGCTCTTCTTAGGGAGGTTGGTGAGGGATCTCCTGTTCAGGTAGACGTTGGAGTCCACGGCCTCTGGATTTCTTTCCACCTCTGAGTGTCCCCCTTTGTCCTCAGGCAGCCTCAAAATGGGTTTCCTTCTCTGTCCTCACATGGTCTTAGGTACCATCCTGATTTGGCCCTGGACAAAACTCTGAAGGAGGCCAAAGTTTGCCTTTGGGCCCCTCCCCACATATATACACATACGAGACAGGAGGCCTTCCTGGTGACTCATCCCCCCAATCATTTGACCCTTTTCATCTAAGGTTACCTTCCTTTTACTAAGATCTCTCCCATTTGGTATGTACTTATTTATTTATAGGCTGATACCCTGAACACCCTACCTCTCCCAGGGCAGGGACCATTGTTTTTGATGCTTGGCACTTAACAGGTGCCCAATAAATGCTTATTGATTAATTGCTTGGTCCCTTTTCTGCCCTCAATATCTCTTTCCCTTGTACCCTCAGGTAGGGGTGTGATGGAGCCAACTGGTACCAGCTTGTGAGAGCCAATTATTAAATTTTCAGTTATGAGCATTTATACCTCAGGCCTTGATTTATTGCTTTGTGGATTGTCTAGACATAAGAAACTGATGTATAAAATGGTAATAATGCAGATTGAACTTAGAAGCCTGTCCTGGAGAGATTTTTTTTTTTTTGCAGAAGCATTTGTTAAACATTTACCAGCCCACCACTCTAAGTGTCCAGTGTCTTTTTATCCCTCAACAATGCCTAAGAAACATCTCTGCCACAAGTATAGAATTACCTTCCGAATCCCAAGTTGTGGCTGCTCTCCCTTCATCCCCCCATTACTTTGTGTGTGTGTGTGTATATTTTTTATACACATGTGTGCGTGTGCGCACACACACACACACACATATGGCAATTGGAGTTAAGTGACTTGTCCAGGGTCACATAGCAGTAAGTGTCTGAGGCAGCATTTCAACTTAGGTCCTCCTGACTCCAGTGCCAGAGCTCTACTCACTGCGTCACTTACCTGCCCTACTTTACAGATTTTTAAAAAATTTTACATTATCTATTTATAGGTTGTTTTCCTTCAGTAGAATGTAAGCCCCTTGAGGGCAGTTTCATTTTTATCTTTATATCTCCAGTGCTTAACATAGTTTCTAGCACATATGTGTTTCAAGAATAAATTTCAGTATATCGGTAATATAGTAGGAATATGTTTTGTCAATTTCGTATAACTACTAATATGGTAGGAATAAATTCTGTTACCTCAAGTTAGTGTGGGAATTTAGCATAACTGATGCCATTTTGTTTAACCTCTATGTTGTAACTGAGTTGTCCTGAGTATGTTGTATTTTTCTTTAAGCTGTTTTTCAACACTAAGATAAGCACCTGCGTGTTCTGATGTAATAAACAGAATGTGTATGTTCTTTGTGTGTGTGTGAGAATATGGACGTTCTTTTTATATGTGTGTATGTTCTTAAAAACAACTAATAGACGTAAGTAGATCTGATAAGACAGATCACCAATGAGAGAGCATTATAAGTAACTTTATCAGTAACTTTGAAGTAGAAGTACCAATTAAATTATATGATAAACAACTTTAGCTAAAAGTGTGGAAAATCTACCTGAGATTTCTGTCCTCAGCCTGTTCCTAAATTGAGATTTCCTACTTGCTTCCTATGCTTGATTGGAATAAGTGTACATGGCTGGAGGGTAGTGCTCACCGGATAATGGGGATTTGGAGCCTGGTCAGAAGAGCACCCCAGAACAAGACACAAGGCTTTTGGATGGGCAGAGAGGGAAATTGGTCTAGTCTTGTAGGAAATCAACTTATGGGAACCTTTAAAATGGCAAGATGGTGGCAGTCTGCTTTTGGAAGATAACGTTTACATGCTTTGACTAATAAAATTTGATTGCATTGGGAAGTATAAGTTAATTAGTGTTTCTGCTGCACTACTTTTCTGTTGCACTAGTGAGTATATGCCAGGCAGTTAGGTGATGCAATGGGTAGAGTATTAGCCTTAGAGTCTGGAGGACCTGAATTCAAATATGACTTCTGACATTTACTAGCCGTATGATCCTGGGCAAGTCACTGAAACCTGTTTGCCTCAGTTTCCTCATCTATAAAATAAGCTGGAGAAGGAAATGGCAAACCACTCCAGTATCTTTGGCAAGAAAACCCCCAAATGGGGTCATGAAGAGTTGTACGCAACTAATTAACTAAACAACAACAAAAGTTAGTACATATAATGATTAAGGCAGATAGGCAGGCACTATACATCACTTATATTAGATGTTTAATAAATGATAATTGAATTAAATTGCTAAGTTAAACTCATCAGCTAGATGGCAAAGTGGATAGAGTGTTGGACTAGGACCTGAGTTCAAACCCTGCTGCAGACACTTAGCTGTGTGATTCTGGGTAAATCATTTAACCTGTCAGCCTCAACTTCTTTACCTGTAAAATGGGGCTAACAGCCCTTAACTCACAGACTAGTTGTGAGGATCAAATGAGTCAACATGAGTTGATAAAGCAATTTGCAGGCCATAAAAAGTTTCAGAAATGGCTATTGTCATTATCATCATCATTATTATAAATGAAATCTTAAAGTTTAGAGTGGGATCTTAAGTTTAGAACTAGAATAGACGTTAGCGGTCTGATGGGATGTTTTGGGTTTAGCACCAATTCAGCCCCCATCTCCTACACCTTCTTCACTTTTCCCCAGTCTCAGACAAGGAGAACTGAAATTCATTATTCACCAAGCACTTGTGACCTCTCCCTTTGAACCTTCCATAGCACTTGGCTTGTTGGTCTCTCATGGTGTTTAATATAGGATCACAGGTTCAGAGCTAGAAGGAACCTCTGAAATCCTCTAGTCCAAACCCCTGATTTTACAGATGCTCCGGGAGATTGAAGTCCATCAAGAAGTGACTCGGGTGACAGTCACACAGAGAGTATCAGAGATAAAACTTGACTGACTCGTGGTCCTTTGACTCTCAATCTAGGGCTCTCTCTACTGTGCCCACAGTACTCAAAGCTCAAGAGTCTATCTCTGACAGAGACAGGCTATAGAGCATTAGGTTGCTGAAGTAGACCTCAGAAGGCTTGAGGGACCCTCCTTTCTTCCAGTTTCTCTGGAAGAGAAACCCAACTTTCACTTTGACCCTACTGGTAATACAAACATTTCCAAAGGAAGGGATGGAGGGCGGGGAGTGGGAGAAGAAGACAGAAACTTTAGACATTTTGGTCACAGCCAAATGTGAGAATTTGTTTCACTTGACTGTATATTTTTTTTTCAAGGGTTTTTCTTTTCTTTTTTTTTCCTGGAGGAAGAGGTCTAGAGAAAATAGATTTTTTGTTATGGTTATGCCAGACAAAACCAAAAGGACAGTTAAAAGGCAGTAAAATAGTTCTTTATTATTTATTCTGATTGAATCATTGAAAATGTTTAACAATAAATAAAATATTGCTGAGATCTGAGTTGTTCAGACTCCTCTCTCTTCATTCAAAATTTTTATCAACTGCTAATGCATAGCGACAGAGCAAATAAAAGATCAAGACAAAGTTGAAACAAAACCAGAGATGCAGCAAAGACTTTTTTTTTCTTTTTTTTGTAAAAAGTGCTTAAGAAACTTTGGCTTTGAGAGCGAATCCTCTCCAGAAGTGCTTAAGCAACTGTGTGAGGGGAGAACAGTGCACAGCCAGGTGTTCAGTTCATGCTGGTCCAGGTGCTTCCTGAACTGGGCTGAGAAGCAAGAGACAGTTTCTGGCCCACAGGCCACTTGTCCAGCACCATCCCACACCCATCAGTCTTGATTCCAAATGCTTCAACACTCAGACTCCACCTTGAGCAATATGGGTGGGTTTCAATTTATCAATAGGGATTGTTTTTTGCCTTTCTTTGCACCTTTAGCACTTAGCACAGTGCCTAGCACACAGTAGGCACTTAATAAATGCTGGCTGGGTGGGACAAGTTTCCTTTTTTTCTTTCATACACAAACATGTGGGACTATCACTGACCAGAAGGTCCAAGCTCCTGGGGGTGGCTTCTGGAAGGGGAAGGTGTCCAACCTTTGTTAAGAGTAGAAAAATTACAACCTTCAGTGCATTCAACATGTTCCATCCATTCTTCTAAATAACTCCATTCAGGACTAAAAGTGGGACAATGGGATAAATAAGGTCATCAATCATAGAGCTGGAAAGGACCTTAGAGGTAATCTAGTCTAACCACCTCATTTCATGGGGAAGGAAACTGAAGGCCAGAGATGATGCAACTCAATTAACATCACACAGGATTTGAACACAGGTCCTCTGACTCCAAATCCAATGGCCCCTTCAATCCTTCTTGAATGTCAGAATACCCTCCTCTCCCCCTTTAAAAGCCAACAGTGTTATATTGCACAACAGCAGGTCACAGTCAGAGTTTCTAACTTCTGTCAAACTCTGAATAGCCTCTCAGAGGACAGAGACAATGAACTGTCTCCTCTAAGACATCCCTCTGGACATCACATGGCATGATAGAAATGGGATGGTGCTGTCAGTAACCCTGATCTTGGTCACCAGCTTATCACTGGAACCAGAAGTTTCTAATACTTGAATCTGTTCTTTTTAGACTCCAAATACCATTAATTGGAATAAAACTCCACTTACTTGAGATGTTATTGGCTTGATTATCTAATCCCTACCTCATAGAACCTCTGGCTCATTTGGACCAGTTTGTTAGGAGGGGCCCCCGTCTAGCAGGGTCAAGGCTTACCACCTTGAAATGGTCTCCCTGACTGACAGAAAGGTACCAGGGAGTCTCTTCTCTTTAGGAAGGGGTCTGAGCCCTCTTTGTACCAGCTAGATTTTCAAACATGAGAAAACTTTCTTAATTAGAATGCCAGTGCCCAGAAGGCTCAGTGAAGATATTGGGGTTTTATTGTGGGAGGTGGGTTGATGGGATGCACTCAGAATTTAGGAAAAACAAGCAAATTTGAGGAGTATAAAACACAATCAATCAGAAATCAACAGACTCCTAGGTTCTTGCCCTCTCTGTGACACTTAATAGCTGTGTGACCTTAAATGCATTAATTTACCTCTTGGAATTAAAAAAAAGGGGCGGAGGAAGGGTTGATTCCTTTGGCTCTATGCTTTGTTGCAGGATCTCCTCCAAGTACAAAACAAGCTGATTTCCAATGTTTAGTTTAGTCTTTCTTTCTTTCTTTTTTTTTTTTTTTTAAGTGTATCCTCCTTGCATTGGAACCCATTTAGCACAATTTCCTACCTCAATCAATGAAGACATACTGAGCACGATCTGTGTGCAGGGCATTGTGCTAAGTGTGCTCTAAGAAGAATCTCCACCTATTGTTTTGGATGTAAGAGAAAGGTCATCACAGGGATGACCCACAGGTGTGATCCTTAATTTGGAGGAAAAGTTTCCCCACCTTTCACTTATAAACTATATAAAGACCTCCAGTGCTGGGCAGCTCACTGCCCCCACACCTCTCCAAGGGAACACACTCTATTTTTGCCTACCTCATGACTCTATTCACCAAAGCCAGAAAGTGAATTCATCCTCTGTAAAAGGAACTGGTTACTGGACGTGTTCAAACAGGGCCTGGATGATCACTGGTCAGACATGTCCTAGAGGGGATTCATGCTTCAAGCACAGGCTGGACTGGATGGATTCTGAGGTCCCAGGATTCTGAAAACTTTTGGCTTCAAGATTCTGGGATCCGCCACAAAGGTTGAAACACATACTGTGCGACTTTCTAATGCAATGATATAATACTGTGTATGACAGCCATCTATCTTAGTACCCATTCCCCCTACTAAACCAAAACTTCCTGAAGGTGGCAACTAAGCTTTATTCTTCTACCATTTGGTATAATATTGTCTCTGCATACAGAAGGAACGTGGCAAATGTTTGTTGACTCTCAATCAACTAGAAGATTAAAATCATCAAATACTCTCTTCCCCTGTAATACCCTGACACATTCCTGTTACCTAATATTTTACTTTATCTGAAGGAGTCCTTCAGTAGAATGGAGGCTCCTTCAGGGAAGGGACTGTTTCATTTTTGTACTTGTGACTCCCGGCATGGTGTCATGCACCGTGAATGCTAAAATGCTTGTTGGATTGACTGAGTTGAAATCGAGCTCAGTTAATGCAGGAGGCATAAGGTTTCATGGTAGGAATCGTAGCAATGGAATCTTACAGGGTAAGGTCTAACTCTAGGGTATCATGTCCCAACATAACATGTATGCATATACCTAATCTGAAACAAAGCCCTAGTCGACCAAGAGGAATGCTGCCATGCAGACTGAAGAGCTTTGCCCAAACCCATCTGACAGCACTGAACAACTCAGTCGGTGATTTCTCTGGATGAGCCCTTCCCAAACCACAAATGCCCCAAGCACCATGGCTGCAAATCAAACCAGCAGTTCTGGAAGCTGCTGGAAGCCTGAGCATCCTGGCGAAGCTGCAGTGGGGATAATTAAAGCCCAAGATGGGACGGTGACATGTACAGCATCAGTTCATTTTTCTAAGAATCAATAAATAATTTGGAAAGAACACAAACGGGGAAGGAAGAGGCGGCAGCAGAGATGAAGGACAAGCACCACTCTTCCCACACGTCAATCACTGCCCCTGTCAGTCACATCTCCTCATGGTTGGTACCAGGTGCCATATCCTCATTCAAACAACTGGATCCCGTCGTTGTAGCCCAAAGACTGGGACTATCTTGAAATTCTATACACTCCCTCAAAAGGCATGAGGACCCCATGCCAGACAGTTTTTTAAAATATACTTTAAATGATCAACACATTTTATAATCTTAAGACTTATTTTCCTCTCTCTAATTTGGTAACTGGCTTTTGAGACACATAAGATATTCAAAGTAGCCCTGGGCCCAGCGGAGGTAGAACTCAATTGTTCTCCTCACCACTCTCTTGCTCCCCCAGCAGAGCTTGGGTGCTTTACTTTTGAGGAAATGGGGCAAACGCTGCCAGAGTGGGAGTCACGTTTTCACGGTCTGAGTTCTCTCTTGACCCAAAGAGTTCAACATGGGGCTCCTGCCTCATTTTAGCAAAGGAATGAAGGTTGCTTTCCAAAATAGAAAGGCACGTGGAATAATTAAATGTCCAGTCTGCTCCAAGTTGAGAAGGATTTCAACCAAAACCTATTTTTCCAAAACAACATTTGCTTTAACACCAACTTTCCAAAATAACACTTGCTTTAAAAAACAAATAGAGAGAACACAGTGGAAGAGCAACCTGGTCTACACCAAAGACTTATACATCTTCCCATTCTTTCCTATGCTGATGTAAGAAGTATCTGATAAATGTTTTGATAAAAGCTTTGAGACCAGAGGTCTTTTTTTTTTCCCTTTGAGGGCCAGTGTATGAGTGAACAGAGAAGACCTTTTGATCTTACCGAGCAAGAAGCCAGACACCGGGCCTGCCTGGTGGATACTTAAAAAAAACCCAGCATTTTCCCATGAATGCTAAAGCAGACCAATGAGGTAATCATTAAAATTTTAAGAAATTATGATAATAATGATGGTTGTATTCTTTTTTCTCAATCCTGGTCCATCTGGAATCTTCCCCCTTCACCGGAAAATCCTTGCTCTGTTTCAAGAAAGCAGGGACGGAATGCCTCTAGTCACACGTCTCTAAATAAGGCCCGTGTTTCTTTCTAGAAGCATGTGTTGCCATCAGGTGCACCCATCTGACTCCTGCCCGGCATCTGCCCATTCTCCCCATTTCCCACCCACCCCGTCTCAAGCACTGAGATTCTCCATCTGTTACCGATTCTCAAGGATTGTCTTGTAGTCCCAAAGGAAATAAAAGAAAGTGTGAAACAGATACAGTCTACTGGTCTAGCTGCCATTCACAGCCCCGATGCCCGTCACATTTTTCCAGCTCACAGACCCCGAAGAAGGAGGCAGGAAGGAGCCAGAGGCTGAAATTACAGAGAGTGATCCACTGCAGTTTTTGGCCTGTCCTGGGGTCATCTCCCCTTGAAGATTCGTATTTTGTTAAGGGATGCTAGTGTGGTGGTCACGTTGGATTCAAAGTCACCATCATGAACACCTGTTTTTCGGAAAGCTCCAGCGGAAGGGTTATTCTCCCAATAGTGATGCCAGTTGCCTTTACTGTCAGCCCCAAAACCATAGAGATCCACCTGACAGAATAGAACAAAAAAATACAATTTAATGGAACATGCATTTATTAAGCTTCTCCTCTCTGTTAGGCACTGTGGAAGAAGATGGGGGAATACCAAGAAAAAACAAACCAGCCCTTACTCTCATGGGGATTATATTCATTCTAGAGGGCAGGGGGGAAGAAACATGTACAAATATAATTAAGTAGAAAATTTACACATAAATACAAAGCAACATGAGGAGGGAAGGTCCAGATTACCCATTCCACCTGTTACCTCTTCCAGGGGCACTGTTCTTTGACTCTTCCTGGAAAAGATTCCTGGCTGGGGGCAGGGGGTGAGTGGGTTGAGTTATGACTTATAAGTATGCTCTGAGTCATCACTGTGGCTTTGCAGCCAAATAGGAGAATTAGTTCTGAGAGGGCATTAAGAGAGGACACCATATTCAGAACAAAGGAGGTGAAGGTACACATTCCCTCTGACCCCAGGTACGAATACTGGATTCCATCCTGGGGATCACATTTGAGGAGGCATAGGAACAAGCTGGCGTACATCCAGGGAAGGGCATACAGCATGGCCAGTGTCAGACCCCGGGGAAGTAAGCTCCCTATACCTCACTCATTATCCTCATCTAAGAAATTAGGGCACTGGACTCATCACCCTTTAAAGTCCCTTCTCACTCCTTAACCTATGATCCTATGAATTAGGAATGATAGATGGAAGTGGAAGAGAAGAACTTTTAAGCTCCCTATCACTACACATAATAAATAGAGCTACTCAAAGACAGCATGGGTTCCTTCATGCTCTCAGTCACTGAAAAAGGTCAGGTGGAAGTTAGATGACCCCTTGTTGGGGCAAGAAAAGAGGGCATTCCTGAATGGCTGAACTAAACAAACTCCAAGGTCCCTTCTGATTCAGATGCAGTGATTCTGTTGTCCTCCATGTTTTCAGATACTTTGCTAAAGGGCCAGAAAGCAGGTGAATTAAGAGAGGTGTAGGGGGAGCTGGGGCTGGGAGTCCTCAGATTGGAAACAGATGGAGGACAAGCAGGGGATGGAGATGGGGGTGGGGCTCTTGGTAAGGTCTGGATGGTAAATAGAGAACACAGTGAGACCTATGGTTGGCTTTGGGGACTTTGGGGCAGAGGGGATGAGATAAGCATCTCCCTGCTGTTCCGTAACTCCAGCTGACAGATTTATTCAGAATAAGAGTATATCCTCCACTTCCCCACCTTTTTTTGCTAGCTCTTCTGGCTGAGTAGCTCCCCTCAAAGCAACCTAACCCAGCTCCTGAAAGTTAAACCAGGACTCTCATCATTCCTAAAGATCTGCTTTTTAAAAAATTTAAAATGAAATTAAATTTAAATTTTAAAAAATTTAAAAAATTTAAAACAACATTCAAGAAGATTATTCCTATCCTTTCTTAAGTCATTAAGTCAACAAGTCAATAATCATCCAACAGTTGACATTTTCCCTGGCCCTCCTCCCCACCTGGACCTCTCTCCCTTCTCATCACTGCCTCCTAGCTTCAAGTCAGCTAAAGCCCTACCTCCTGCAAGAGGCCTTCCCCAATCCGCCCTAATCTTAGCGCCTTCTCTCTGGGAAGATCTCCAGTTTGACCTGTAGGGCTCTTGTTTGTACACAGTTATTTCCAGGTCACTATATGGGAGAAAAATATCATATTTTCTCTCCCATTTGACTGTGGGCTACTTCAGATCAGGAAGCATTTTTTTTGGCCTTTCTTTGTATCCCCAGCAGAGTGCCAGACACACAGTAGACACTTAATGTTTTTTTTTTTTAATTAAAAAAGAAAGAAAGAAAAGGAAGAGAAGTAAAACGTTTTACCTCATCACATATGTGCAGGGAAAGAATCACAGAGAGAATTCCAGTGGATGGGTACCTTCCATGGCTCTGGAGCCAGCTGTCAAAGACGTATTTAATGAATGCTGGGTGGTAGATCAGAATCTGGGTAAGAGAAGAGTAGCACATTGGTCAGCAAAACAAGGCAATGATGTGGGAAGAAAGTCTTAGATGGGGACTGGGAGGAGCTGTGAGGCCTGGGTTCCAGCCCTAGCCTCATACGCTGGCTACCAAGCTGTGGGATCATTTGCTCTGGGTCTCAGTTTCTGTAACTCTTGAATGAGAGAATAGGGCTGGATGTTCTCTCTGAGTACTTTTCCACTGCTAACCGACTGTATTCTAAGGTCTCTTTCAGTGCTAATATTAATTTTTTTTAAAAAAATATTTATTTTTAAAATTCATTTTAAAAAGTTTTGAGTTCCAAATTTTCTCTCTTCCTCCCACCCCTGCTTCACTCATTGAAAAGGCAGGCAATGTGATATTAATTATACATGTGAAATCATGCAAAATATATTTCCATATGAGCCATCTTGCCAAAGAAAAAGCAAGAAAAATAAAAGTGAAAAAATTATGCTTCAATCTGCATGCAGAATTTGTCAGTTCTCTCTCTGGAGGAGGATTAGCTCTCATCTTCTATATTCTAGCTCGTCAAGCTTTGAGACTGTTTTCTAAGATCTGAGGAGAGAAGTGGCATGGTTTAGAACAACGGTGTCAAACGCAAATAGAAACAGGGCCCCCAATACGGAGCCCTGTGGGCCACGTGTTGGTTTTAAAATGTCGTGTTATCTATGTTTTCTGGTATTTTTATTTACTTTGTTAAATATTTCCCAATTACATTTTAATCTGGTTCAGACCAAACTCGGAATGTCGTGGGCCATATGGAGTCTCATGTTTGATAACCTCTTTGTTGTTGTTCAGTCGTTTCAGTCACGTCTCACTCTTCGTGATCCCATTTGGGGTTTTCTTGGCAGATATTGGAGTGGTTTGCCATTTCCTTCTCCAGTTCATTTTGCAGATGAGGAAACTGGAGCAAACATGGTTAAGTGATTGGCCCAGGGTCACACAGCTAGGAAGTGTCTGAGGCCAGATTTGAACTCAGGAAGACGAGTCTTCCTGACTCCAGGCCTGGTGCTCTATCCACTAAACCACCTAGCTGCCCTATGATAACCTCTGGTGTAAAGAATGATGGGTTTGCAGTCAAGAGAGACTTGGGTTCAAATGCTAGCTCCTGACCCTGCATTCAAATCCTTTCTTGGGATGCCTCACACATTCCACAGAACAGACACTGATATAAACTGTTGCACAATTAGCTATAAATACATCTCTAGCATTTTATTTGCGCTTTTTTTCTTTTGCCTATGCACAAAAAGGACTGTTTAAAACATGCGTTCTTGTAGCAGCAAGGCGTCGTCACCGCTGTGCTTGGCTGAGTTCACAAACTTTATGTGATTATGGACAGTTGCCCTAATCTCTAAGCTTTTGTTTCTTCAGCTGTGAAGTGGGAATGACATTAAGACCTGCAACACCTCCCTCACATGGCACTTTCGGGGATCAGACGAGACGCTCTAAGTACTCCACACACGTCAGTTGTTATGACTAGGGTCTAACACACCAAGGTCCTTTCCAGTTCTAGTACTGCAAGATTCAGTCATACACACACACACACACACACACTCACACACTTGAGAATCCCTTGGCTGAACTGACAGTGGTACTGGTCTGATCCCCTGGGTGCTAGACAGAAGGAGGCACAGAGATTACCGATGGGACTTCTCTGCCCCCCCCTCCCCATTTCTCTTTAAAAATCTTGACTAATTGGGGGATTTCAGATTCCCTCACTGCCTTGAGATCTCCTGCTGTGTTTGTAATTATAGTGACAGGGAAGTGCTTAGGAAACCCACAGGACTCTCTTCTCAGGGGACTTGGAGGTTAATTGGTGAGATTTCTGTGTCTTGTATCACTCCTGCTAAGATACAAGTGACTGCACTACAAGGAGGGCCCAGATTGGGGGTGGGGGGGGCCGGTGGGCCCTGGAAGGGCACCAGTACATGCTGTGCCTCTTTCTCAGAGTGCCAGTCAGCTTCTCCTTGGAGGGAGGGAGGGAGGGAAGGAGGGAGGGAGGGAGGAGTATTTCAGGTGGTTAGTGTTCATTTTTCTGCTGGAGAAGGCAGGCATCTTGGTTTAGTGGGCATAACAGTGAACAAGGAATTCAGGTTCTAGTCTTGGCTTTACCTAGGCTGGCGAGGTGACCCTGGACAAGTCACTTGCCCACTATTAGACTCAGTTACTTCCTTTGTAAAATGAAAGAGTTGAATCTGATGATTTCCAAGATCCCTGTGAATATTAAGGGTCCTGGGGTAAGCCTGGATACAGGTCTCCTTACTCCCAACCCTGCCGATTACCCACTAGAAAGTCTGTCATTACTGATGGAAGGCCTTGTAGGTAGGGGTTAAATACTAACTTAGATCCTGAGGTGGGAAGGGAGAGATACAAAAGAACAGGAGAGGTGTTCCCTGGCCTCAAGGGGTTTGCAAACTAACGTTTGGCATTTGTTGGCCCAGGTTACAAATAACTGGTCTGGAAGGCTGAATAAGGCCTACTTTCTAGATTTGCTCTTTGCCAGGGCTGGGGGTGGGGGGGGGCAGCGTTATAGGCTCTAATCCTTGCACTCTCCTAATCACCTTGCCTGTCTCTCAGCATAAAAGTAAATTACAACTTACAGATGTCAAACTTGGAAGATAAGAAATGTCCCTAACATCTCATGGCCTATAGGACCATAGATGAGGAAAGGGAGGCACAGTCAGGCTCAATAACTTGCAAAGAGTCACACAGCCAGAAGGTATCCGAGGCTGAATTCAAACGCAGGTCTTCCACTCCAAGTCTAGACCTTGTCCACATAGGACGATCTAGTTCCATGTTGGTGAGCAGAGGGAGGGGAGAGAAGGAATGGCAATGTTCTTGGTGTGATGGGAAGGGAGTTTGATGCAAGTAGTAGGCTTGTTATCAGAAGACCTGGGCTTCAACCCAAGCCATGTCGCTCACAGAACATGTGACCATGAATAAGGCATGTGTCCTCTCTGAGATACAGATTCCTCACCTGTAAAATGGCTATAATAATATTTGGCTTAGCTACTTATGGGGTTGTCATGTGGATCAAATAAGGCATTGAATGTGACGGTCCCTTGTGACTGGAAAGTGCTATTTTTAGGAATATCACCATTTCTCTGACTCACCTTTTCTTTCTTCACATGTATTTTTCGGGGAACAGGAACATATGTGCTGGGAAGGAAAGACAAAGAAAAAGTGGAGTTAGTAATAATAATAATATTATTAATAATAACAGCAATTACAGAGCACCTTAAAGCTCGCCAAGCATTTTACATATGCATTTGATCCTCACAACAACGTTGGGAGGCAGGTATTATTATTCTGCTCAGGGATCCACAGCTATTGAGGGTCTCACTGATCCCAACCCCGATACTCTATTCACAGAGCCACCTGGATGTCTCACCAGAAACACAGGACAGCTCTACCCAAATGCTTCTGAATAAGTGGCTACACTGATCTGGGCAAGCATTTCCTAGAGGCAAATAAATAACAGAAGAAATAATCAGCAGCCAGCAGCATCAGGAAAGAGGAAAGAATGCAGACCTGGGCTTGGGTTCTAATCCTGCCTTTGATGGTACTACCTGTATGGCCTTCGGCAAGTGACTTGGTCTTACTGTCTCTTTGTTTCCAAATCTGCAAAATGAGGTGGGACCATAGATCAGATGACCTCTGAGGTCCCTTCCAGCCAGAGATCTACAATCCTGAGATCTATAACGCTTTGGGTATTCACATAACCAGAGCCTGCCACGTTATGGCCACCAGGGGGCACTGGTGACTAGTTTTTGAGTATCCTTTTTAAAAATTTATTTTTATTTTTTTGAATAGGAGCATAGATTTAGAGTTGGAATCATTTAGTAACTACTTCATTTTAAGGCAAGTTTCCAAGACACAATTCCCATACTTATTTTACTTTATAGGGTTATTGTGAGGAAAGAACTCTGTAAATTTTAAAGGACTGCAGAAATAAGAGGCATTATTATTATTGTTAATAATAATGACAATAATTATGTTTCTGCATACATTTACAGCAATGACTTTTTTTTAAAAAAACAGAAGCATAGAGGTAAAGGTAGAATCAATCAATCAGTGTTGTTTCTGTTCAGTCATTTCAGTCGTGTATGACTTTTTGTGATCCCATTTGGGGTCTTCTTGGCAAAGATACTAGAGGGGTTTGCCATTTCCTTCTTCAGCTCATTTTACAGATGAAGAACTGAGGCAAACTGGGTGAAATGACTTACCCATGATCACACAGCTAGGAAGTTTCTGAGGCCAGATTTGAACTTAAGAAGATAAGTCTTCCTGACTTCAGGTCTGGAGCTCTATCCACTGTGCCACCTAGCTGCCCTAATCAATCAGTAAATACTTCATTTTACAGATGAGGCAACTGAGACCCTGAAAAACTAAGTGATTTGCCCAAGGTTACACAGGCTGTAAATGGGCCAAAACTTGAACCCAGATCAGATTTAGAGCCAGGAGGGTACTTAGGAGTTCATTTAATCCAATCTCATTTTCTAGGTGAGGAAAATGAGCCCCAGAATGGGAAAATGACTTGCCTTAAGTCATACATGCACAGAGACAGGATTTGAACCTAGGTTCTCTGACTTGAAATCCTGGGCTCTTTCCCCTCCACCCAAGTATAGCTAAGATCACTACAGCTGAAGATGTACTCTAATCCTTTCATCTTACAGATGAGGAAACTGAGATATTCTTCCCCTTGGCCTCACACATCTGGACCACTGTACTACAGCTTCAACAAATAAAAATTAAACCAAAATTAGCTCACTGCCCACACAGAGGGGGGAGGTTCCTCATTCCTGGAATCATCAAATGTCAGAGTTTAAAGAGACTTTAGTGATCATGGAGAGGTAGCTAATGCTAGTGGGATAAGCGAAGGAACTGGAGGCCAATGGCCAGTTTCATTTGTTATTAGCAATGTGTGACCCCAGGCAAGTCTCTGAGACTCAGTTCCCTCTTCTGTAAAATGAGAATAATAATAGTTGTCTTATTTCACAGGGTCACTGTGAGGAAGGAGCTCTGTAAATTTTAAAGGCCTGCATAAATGGGAGGTAGTAGTAGTAGTAATTTTGTTTCTGCATAGATTTACAGCACTGAGAGAAATGAGAGGAGACATTAGAGAGGAGAGGTAGTTTGTGACCTTGCTTCTGCCACCCTTGATGTCAACTCTGATCATGGATTTTATGGGGCATAGGGGAAGTGGGGAGCAGAAATGATGGCATTTTGTACTGCTACTAATGCATCTTAGAACCACTCATTCCAGAACATTGTGGAAAGGACTACAACAGACCTGCTAAAACCGATCATTCCTAATTCTTGTTGTTTTTTTTAATTGAATCTTGCACAGAAATAATTAAAGTTAAATGAATTAAATTTAAAATTAATTAAAATTAAATTAAAACTAGTTAAGATTAATTGAATTATTATTATTGTGGTTAATAACAATAATGATAAATTTCTAATACAAGCCTGTAACTGCACAGATGAGGAAGCAGCAGAAGTAGGGGGGTAGCCAGTAGTAAAAAAACAGGGATGAGAACCTTGGCCTCAGCTCTGCACTCTTACAAGGACATCACACAGATGCCCTTTCTGTGCTGCCTTACCATAACTTTGCAAATCTTCCTGCTATCTAGAGAAGCACGAGACTGTGAGCTATAATAGACCACTGAAGAGAGGAAGGGTGGGGTGCAGAAGGGGATGTGAGAGCCCAGAGACAAACTATCAACCACAGAGCTCTTTCGAAGCTAACAGAACTGTGCCTTAGAACTTTAATTGCAGAAAGCAGTTTTTCAACTTCCTTTCACAAATATCGAGCATATTGACATCAAAAGGTAAGTGGGTCCTGAAAGGTAAATTGCCTCTAACACATCTCAGGCCTTTCTGGAAGCTGTAAACTAGAACCCTGCAGAGGATCATGGTGCCTTTCGGCTTCCTTGGCCATCAAGAGAGTGCAGCATTTGCCCCGAGGAGAACCTTGTTATGAGGGCAGCTTCAACCTGGTGGCCACCTAAGTGCGAGGCTGTGTTGTATGGGGAAAGAACCACCTGGCACCCTGGCTTTTAAGATCAATGCTGCTGCTCACTCACTATGTTTACCATTCCTGTCTCTATGCCTCCATTTAACTGGATGACAGTTGGACAGCTGGAAGGGAACTCGGAGATCATCTCGTAAGACTTTCTCACTTTACAGAAGAGGAAATGGAAGCTCAGGGAGTTTAAAAGGCTTGCTTAAGGTTCCACATAGGGTAAGCATCCCAGGGGAGATCTGAACCCAGGTCCTCTGACTCCTGAGCCAGGGCTCTGTGCAAAGTACCATGGCTTTGCAATAAGAGGTTAGACTAGATGATCATGGAAATTCCCTCCCTGCTCTGGAATTCTGGGAGATTACCTCTATCTTTTCTTCTTAAATAAATATACCTATCTGTTGTTGCAAGATCTACAATTTTTTTCTTCACAATAACTCCATGAGGGAGATGGGCAAAATATCATCCCCATTTTACAGATAATAATAGCTAGCATTTATGTAACACTGAAGTTTGCAAAGAGCTTTACCTTTACATCATCGGATTCTCACAACAACCCTAGAAGATGGGTGCTATTGTTATCCCCATTTTACAGATGAGGAAACTGAATCAGAGAGAAGTTAAGTGACTTGCCTAAAGTCACACAGCTGGTCAGTATCTGAGGCAGGATTTGATTTCAAGGCTTCCTGACTCTAGAGCCAGCACCTATTCACTACAGCATGCTGCCTCTCTAAATCGGGCCCTCTGAGAACAAGCAAAACAAATCAAATCCCTTTTTCCATATGATAGCCCTTCATACACTTGAAGACCACTATTATGCCTCTCCCTGCTAAACATCTTTGGTTCCTCAAACTATTTTTCTCTGCTGAATCATCCAGCTGTCACTAACAGTAGAGTCAAAGAGAGCTGAAAGTGACATGTTACGCAGTGAGCCAGCTTGTAAGTTGGAATTTGAACCCAAATCACCTGGCCCTAAATCCTGGGTGTACACCAGGCTGTTGCCTCTCTCTCCTTCCTCCAGCTCCCTCTGGTTGACCTGGAGACAACCTACATCAAGTAAAATGCAGGGCCTTGTAAAGCTTGGGTGGTGGCTGAGCCCATGGAGGGATACCAGCCAGAGCCTGGAGAAGCCAGGCTGATGAGATCCTGGGCTCAGGGTGAGGCCAGTGCTCGAGGAGGTCCCAATGACTGGACATCAAAACTGCATGGTGGGGTGGAGGGAGAGGGGAGAGAAGGGGAGAGGACACAAACTGTCACTGGGAATTGTTTCTCTGATTTATTTTTGCTTCACACACTGAGTGACCCTGGATAACTTGTTTCTCTCTGGACCTCACTTTCTTCATTGGTCAAATAAGGGGGTTGGAATAAAGGACCCTGAAGGGTTCATCTAGCGTTAGCATTAGATTCTTCAGACCACTTGGCTTCAGCTCTACCAGGTACAGAATCCTTTGTTCGGTGTCAAAGCCCTTCACAACCTGCCCCCTTCCTCTGTGCCCTACCTTTCCAGTCTTTTTTCAAAATTTTTTTATTAATTTATTTTGATTTATCAACAATCACTTCCATAAGCTTTTGAGTTTAAATTTTTCCTCCCCCTCCCTCCCCAAGATGGCACCCTATCTGATTTAGGCTTTACATGTACATTCTTATTAAACATATTTTCACATTAGTCATATTGTAAGGAAGAATCAGAAGCAATGGGAGGAACCACCAGAAAGAGGAAACAAAACAAAACAGAAGAAAAAAAAAGGCAAATAATATGCTTCGATAAGCATTCAAACTCCATAGTTCTTTCTTTGGATGTGGATAGCATTCTCCACCATAAGACTTTTGGAGATGTCTTAGATCCCTGCATTGCTGAGAAGGGCTAAGTCTATCAATGTTAGTCATCGCACAATGTGGCTGTTACTGTGTACAGTGTTCTCCTGGTTCTGCTCACTTCACTCAGCATCAGTCCACACAAGTCTTTCCAGGTTTTTCTGAAGTCCGCCTGCTCATCATTTCTTATAGCACAATAGTATTCCATTACATTCATACACCACAACTTGTTCAACCATTCCCCAATTGATGGGCATCCCCTCAATTTCTAATTTTTTGCCACCGCAGAAAGAGCTGCTATAAATATTTTTGTACATGTGGGTCCTTTCCCCATTTTTATGACCTCTTGTGCTATTGCTGGGTACATTTTACAGCCCTTTGGGCTCAGTTCCAAATTGCTCTCCAAAATGGTTCTACCTTTCCAGTCTTATACCTTACTCTCTTCCACATCATGGCATGGCCTCCTGGCTGTCCCTCGAACAAGACATTCCATCTGCTGACTAGGCATTTTCACTGGCTGTCCACCTTGCTGGGAATGCTCTCCCTCCTCATCTGAGTTCACTAGTTTCCTTTAAGTTTCAGCTAAAATCTCACCTTCTGCTAGAAGTCTTTCCCAATCCCCTTAATTCTAATGTCCTCCTTCTGTTGATTATCTTGAGTTTATTGAATGTATCTTGATTGTACAACATAGTTGTTTGCATGTTGTCTTCTCCATTAGACCATGAGGTCCCTGACCTCAGGAACCATCTTTTGCCTTTCTCTGAATCCCCAGTGCTTCACACAATGCCTGGCACATAGTAGGTCTTTCCAAAGGCTTGCTGACTTGACACCAAAGGCAGGGAAGGGAGATGAGCCATCTTGGTGTGCAAGGCGACCACAGATGTGTGTTCAACAAATTCTGAGACGTGACGGCTAGAGCCCTTCTCTTGAAAGCTTGGAGGAAGTAGATTCACTGAAGTATTTGGACTTGGAATCAGGATGACTCAAAGTCACAATGTGGGTTAATAGCACAACTGGAACTGGACTCCTGACTCCCACAGTTCAGTTGACTTTCTACTATGAGGCAGTTGCTAAAGGTATCATTATCATTATTATTACCTTTTTTTCAGACGAGGACACTGAGGCTCAGGGACGGATTTGCCCATAGGCAGTTATTAAGTGTCAGCAATGGGATCTGAAGCTAGCTAGGTGGTGCAGTGGATAGAATGTCAGGCCTGGAGTCAGAAAGACTCATCTTCCTGAGTTCAAATCTGGCCTCAGACACTTAGTAGCCGTGTGACCCTGGGCAAGTCACTTCATTCGCTCTGTTTGCCTCAGTTCCTCATGAGCTGGAGAAGGAAATGGCAACCACTCCAGTGTCTTTGCCAAGGAAATCCCGAAAGGGGTCACCAACAGCTGGACACGACTGAGAAAACTACTGAACAACAATGGGATTGGACCTTAGGTCTTCCTTTGTCCGAGTCCAGCTTTTCCCCCCGCTAAGCCACATAGCTGCCCATTGACATCTTTTTCCTTCAAGGCCCAACTCAGGAGTTACATCCTCCATAATCCTCCCAGTTAGAAGGGCTCTCCTTCCATTCAAATTTTCTTACACAACTTCACTACTATATACTACCTTCACTTACACTTATTTGTATTTATGCATTATTTTCCCCTCTCTCCCCCCATTAGATTGTAAGTTCCTTCATTCATTCACTTATTAAAAGTGATTTATTAAATGTTTACTATGTACAGGGTAAGATGGTAAGTGCAGAGAACCTTGCCCTACAGCAAATACTTAACGAACCCACGTTTGCTGAATTGAATGAATTTGTATCAATAGAGCTGGGTAGGCATTGGTAGGCATTGTGAGCATTAACTCTGGAGGGCCACGTCAATGAATGTAACCTGATGACAAGTGGAATCTCTGCTCCTGGTAGGTCTGTGACTCTTTTTATGGGTCTCATTCTTCAGACTGGATAGATGAGAGAAAGTATTTTCAATATTGGGGAACACTTGCTGTTTCCTTTGCCATTGCTGGGAAAAGCAAGAAAACTTAGAAATGCCGACTGGAGAATCCTTCATGGTATGGAGAGCACAGTGGGCTAGAAGAATTGCAAATTCTCCTTCCTCTAGATTCGATTCAAATGCCACCTCCTCCATGAACTTTATTCCCCCTCTGCCACATTCTCAACCGCTAGGTTGGAAGTGATTTTTTGAGTCTAAAGGTCTGCAGATCACTCGGTTTATAGTTCTCTTGGCATATCTTCTATAGCATGCTTAGTATTTGAAATGAAGAGAACCAACTCGGATAGAAGACCTGGGTAGAAGCCCCACCTTTGACACATGTTGGTTGTGTGATCTGGGTCAGGTCCCTTAGACTCTCGATGGTCTAGAACAGTGGCAAGAAATGAAAACAGAAATGGGGGACTGTTCATAAGGATCCCGGTGAGCAGTAGACTGGCTTGGATTCAAAATGAAACGTCACCTATGTTTTGTTGTATTTTTACTTTGTTGAATATTTCCCAATTACATTTCAGCCGGTTCAGACCACGCTGGGGAGTGCTGCAGTGTGTGTCCTACGTATCCCAGGGTGGTGACCTGCATTGGTAGGGGAGTTTCTTCACTTGGGAGTTTCCTATATCAATGAAATCTCAGGTTCTATCCCTATTCCTGTTCGAAATCATAGGCTAGGAGGGATCTCAGAGGCTCCCTTGTCTCACCCTGTCATTTTACAGAAGAGAAAATGGAGGCCAAGAGAGGTTAGAACTTGCTCAAGGTCACAGGTAATAATTAAGGAGTTTCAGATTTAGAAATGATATAAACTTCAGAGATCACTTGCCCAAGACCTCCACTTTATGGAATAACAAGAGCCAGAATTTATACAGCATTTTAAGGTTTGCAAAATCCATTACAGATAATATCTCATTTTATCCTTCCAACAACCCTGGGAGAAAGATGCTATTATGATCCTCATTTTACAATAGAGATAACTGAGGCACAGGGTAAGTGACTTGCCTGGGGTCACACAGCTAGCAAGTATCTGAGGTCTTTCTGATTCCAGGCCCAGCACTCTATCCACTGTGCCGCCTGGCTACCTCCATTGATTAGCTATCTTTGGGCAGCAAGAATAGTATGAAGGGGCTGGGCACTTGAGGAGGAAGGTTCCAGAACAAGAAGGCAAGGGGTACAAGGAGGAGGGCAGAGCTTCCAAACCACAGAGGAGGTAAAGTGACTTCTTCTGGGTCACACAGTGATCTGCGGAACCAGAAACCACACGCAGACCTCTTGACCCCAGGTCTAGTACACAGTGGATGCCAACTGATTGCTTGTTGATTTACTGACAAATTCCACATAGTTTTCTCAGCGGATGAAGCACAGCCCCGGGAAGGTGTGATCAGGCACAATCCTGCTGGGTGACTTTGGACAAGTGACTCTCCAGGGCTCTGGGACAGTTAACTTCTGCCTTCAACCAAGTCTGCTCAGTTAACAGGATTGAACCCAGCTCATCCCAAAGTCAAAAGAACTACGCGGGACGACATCAAAAGGCAAGTGAGTCCTCCAAGCTGAATTGACTCTGACACATTTCAGGCGTTTCTGGAAGGTTGTTTGGTGCTGAACCTTAATGTACTGCAAAGTCCAACTTCCCCTGCTGGGCTTGTCCTGGGGATGTGGAGGGTCATTTTCTCAGAGAGGAAGAACTGGTTCCCACGAATGACTTGGTTACCAAGAATACTCCTCAGTTTTGGCCACATCCAATTCCTGTAATTAGCCCCTTTCCCATAATGGCAGGCCACACAAATGAAAGGACTTCCTCTCTTTTATTTCAACACTCCCAAACCCCAAGATAGGAATTCACCTTTGAGCTTTTCATTGCCTTAGCTATCTTTTCCAAACCCTTCTCTTCTGGACCGCACATTCTACGTTCTTTGCTCCAACCTTCTGTATTCGAAAGACCTTTTCAGTTCAAAGGCCCACGATGCACACTTTTATTAAGAAGATTATGCCTCGGTGCCTCAAGTTAGCTTACAAGTTGATGGCGCCTCCCATCCCAAGTCTCAGGTTCCCTTGTGACATAAGTCATTTGTTCTCCTTTCTGGGAAATGGGGAAAGCCAATAAGACTTAACAATGTTCAGCTCCCATATCGATAAAATTAGGTTGGACTTGCCTATTTGATAATCTATAGTCTATGTTCCTTTATTCAACATGAATTTATTTAGCACCTACTGTGTGCCAAGCACTGTGTGTGGTGCTAGGCTCTACCTTCAAGAAGTTGACAATTCCATGTGTCCCTTCCAGCCCTAACATTCCATGTTCTAACGGTCCTTCCTCCTCTAACATTTAATGTTCAAGGGAACCTTCCACCCCTACATTCTACATTCTAAGATCTCTTCCAGACCCAATATTCTACATTCTTTGCTCCTACCTTATATATTGGAAGGACCCTCTCAGGCCTAAAGGCCCACAGCATATGCTCTAATTGAGGAGATTATGCCCCGCCACCTCAAGCTGACTTACAAGTTGATGGTGCCTTTGGTCATAGCGCTGATCACCCACTGCAAGTCCATGGTCTTGAAGGGAATCAGGATCATGCTGACGTTTTCTGCCAGCTCCCGGAAGCTCTCAGGGTACACCAAGTGGTGAGTGGTCTTCCTTCCAACGTCAGCTTCAAAGCCAGCTGTGGGAGCCCGATTCATCCTGAAAACAGAAAGGGCAGATAGGGAGGGAAGAGAGGAGGAAACCAACTGTCAGCAGGCATTACTTCTCAGATTTTGTTTTGCTACATGCACTGGGTTACTTTGGAAGAGTCACTTCTCTCGGGGCTTCAGTTTTTTTGTCTATCAAATGAGGGAGCTTGAAGGGCCCTTCCAACTGCAACATTCTGTGATCTTTAACTTTTAACTCAGTCTCAGCATCAGTTTGGCAAGTCACATAGGAGGTTGGTGAGTGGAATACGAGTCTCTGGATGGTGATCTGACCTGACCTGAAGTGGTAATCAGTTCTGAAGGTACAAAAACATAGGGCTGAAGAGAGACTAGAGGTTCAGGGGGATAGGGCAGAATGTGGTTTCAGGGACTGCTTAGGACCCCATCTAAAGCTCTTTGCTGACCTGACCCGTTGCATCTTAAATATATTATGTCACCTAGGATGCTAGAACATCTTGGTTTTAAAAGAAATAATGATACTATCAATCAATCAATACACATTTATTAAGTGCCTACTATGTGCCAAGCACTATGCTAGATGCTGGGGATACAAAAGAGGCAAAAAACAGTTCTTGCTCTTAAGAAGCTTATAACCTAATGGGGGCAACAACATGCAAAGAACTAAGTATAAACAATGCTAACCAGATAAGCTGGGCATACTTAACAAAGGGAAGTCACTAGAATGAGGGCTGAGAAAGGCTATACTAACAACAATTTACATTTTTATATCCTGACAGTTTAGAAAGTACTTTAAGTAGAGTATCTGATTTGATGCTCACAACACCCGCATGAGATGGTGCAACTATTATTGTCTCCATTTTTCAGATGAGGAAACTGAGGCTCGGAAAGTTTAAGTGACTTACTTGGAGTCACACAGATAGGAACAGGAAGAGTTGGAACTTCATTTTAAGTCTTCTGACTTCCATTATACTAGGGTTTCCCTCTCTTCCCCATTATACTATGCTTTCCATAGGTAGGGGTGCTATTATGATGAGATCCTTTTCAAAACCTAGTAACTGAAACCCCTTGGATGGGGTCCAAGATGAATCAGCCTTATACAAATTATAGCATATATAGTGAGTAGTGTTATATAGCATATAGCGAATAGTGTTACAAAAGCAAGGCTATAGAATGTATTTTAGTGATAGCACTCTACATTTCTGAAACTGTATTGGCTTAATTCCTTTGGATGTCATGTAACACTTCACATGACCTTCTAATGTCCTTACCATGTAATATTATAGAATAGAAGCTACATTATAATTAAGGTCCTTGAAGGCAAGGAATATTCTCACAGCGGGCCTGGTGCATAATAGATGAATGAACAAATATAACTAACTGTACTGGGGTCTCATAACCCCAGCTACCAACTAGAATACAAAGTCTCTGTGGCTAGAGAATATTTCTTACTGAAACTTTGGGTCTTCCACTGCATGTTAGATAAATGTCTGATACTATCATCTGTGTAGCACTTCTAAGTTTTTCAAAGATGTTAGATTGCTGAATTTGGCGTCAGAAAGACTGAAGCTCAAATCCAGCCCCAGACACTTACTAGTGTGACCCTGGGCAAATGGCTTCATTTCTTTCAGCCTCAGTTTCTTCATCTGTAAAATGGGGATAATAGCACCTCACTCACAGTTGCTGTTACGGTCAGACGAGAAAATATACATAATTTTTTGCAAAGCTTAAAGTGCAATATAAATAAGTTGTTGGTCTCATGATTAATATTATTATCATCTGATGCTCCCAATAATCCCTATGAAGTAGATATGGAATGGTATTAATATTCACATTTGGCAGATGAAAAAATTGAAGTGTGGATAGTTAAAATGATTTGCTTAAGGTAATACAACACGGGGGCAGCTAGGTGGCGAGGCGGATAGAGTTCCAGCCTTGGAGTCAGGAGGACCTGAGTTCAAATCCAGCCTCAGACATTTGACACTTACTAGCTGTGTGACCCTGGGCAAGTCACTTAACCCCAATTGCTTAAGGAAAAAAAAAAAATGAAGGAAAGGTAATATAACACATCAGAGACCAAACATGGACTAGAATCTGATTCTCCTGATTTCCATTCCAGTGACCTTCCTACAACCACCTGCAGCTGCCTCTCTCAGGGATGGCCAGAAGGCAATGTTACCTAGCGAGTAGCACCCTGGGAGTTGGGAGACTACTGGTGGCCAGGAGGGCCCCTTCACTCACCGCAGCACAAAGTCATGGTTGTCAATGTCTCTCCCATACTGGGACTGCTTCAGGTTTCCCGAGTTGCCCACAACAGCACAACGCCTGCAGATCAGAGGCCCTTTCTCCAGGAATGGGTCGACATCGCTGGGAACAATGCGGAACAGCTCCCTGAAGGTGTCGTTTAGTCTCCTGGGCAGCCTCTCCCTCTGGAGTTTCTGTGAGCAGAGGGCCAGAGGAGACACACATTCAAAAAAAATGCCACAGGCATCCTCAGCAAGGGAGCTCCTCTGCTGCTGGCTGCTCATGGTACTAATGACCAAGTGGGGCTGGGGGAGAAGGCAAAGATGTTTCCTTGTTGAGTGGCTCACTTGGGAACTGTAACCCTACCTCTGAATTCTACAGCAGGCCCCTGCTATACTATCATGTGAGAAATAACAGAATAAAACTGCTACATACAGCAGGAGACCCGGGTGACAGGACAGTGACCTCACCTTGTCAGGTGTACCTTTTTAGGTACAGGTTAGACTCAAAGGCCTCTCATATCCTGAGATCCCCTCCACTCTGTGTCCGCTGCTCTGCCTGGCTTCAATTCCTTGGTCTGAGATGGTCTTGCCAGGACGAGCTCATCACTTACAATCTCACCTGACACCACCTCCCTCTGCCTCCTTCCCCTCTGACTGGAGGGTGGAATACCCAACTCCTTCTAATGCTTTCTTTACAGAAAGCAGGAACTTGGCTCTCAGGCCCTCCACTTTGTATCTGCTGCCACGCCTGGGTTCAACTCCATGGAAAAGATGCCCCTGGCCAGACAATGCCTGGTCTCTACCTCCTCCGCCATGGCTCGCCCCCACCAGCCTTCCTGTTGTGTGTTCTCTCCTTCCATTAGACTGTAAGCTCCCTGAGGGCAGGGACTATTTTTCTTTCTATTAATTGTATCCCCAGAACTTGGCACAGTGGTACACAGTAGGTGCTTAATAAATGCTTACTAAATTGGATTGGACTGAGACTCAGTCAATCAACAAACATTTAAGTTCCATGAACTGTGTGAAGTGCGAGGAATACAAAGAAAAATTTAAAAATAGCCCCTGCCCTCAAGAAACTTATATTCTAATGAGGTAGACCACAAATATACAAATTGATACATACAAGATAATTACAGAAGAGATGGAAGCAGCCTTAGACGAGTGTGACTGTGACTGGGACTGAGGAAAGACAGAAAAAGCCTTCTTCAGGAACTGGTACTTAAAGGAGGTCAGGGATTCTGAAGCAGAGATTAGGAGAGAAAGCATTCCTGGCGTGGAGAACTGGCACTGCCAAGATGGTGACAGAATTTGAACCATTGTGTGTGCAGAACAGCAAGGAGGTCAGAGTATGTGGACAGCAGCAATGTTTTTAAAGACTGCAAAAACACAAAGGGCCAGACCGTAAAGACCTTCATGTACTGAAGACAGTGTGGTCCTAGAGGTAAGAGGGAGTTACCAAGGAGGCAAATTTCAGCTCAACAAAAAGGGTCGCTACCTAACAATTAGAGATACCCCTGAAATAGAATCATCTGCTTTGTGAGGTTGTAAGCTATAATTAGGGGGAAATTTTCAGCTGCAAATTCTGAGTCAGCAAAAGCATTTCACCCTTCCTAGGTCCTGTGATTTCACTGGAGTGGGTACTCCCTCCACAGAAAAAATCACAGCCTCTCCCAAACTTAGTAGACTGTTTTTGAGAGTTGTTGAGTCAGCAAGAATGACTTAAAAAAAAAGGTCAATTCACATTACTTATATTGCACCTATGGGGTTCTCTAACTGTGTCTAGTTCTATGAGAGACACCACAGAAGTAAAAAACAAAACAAAATAAAAAAAACAAAAACAAAAAAAAACATGGTTCCTACTCAAGTAGAATAGGGCTGCCTTAGTGGAAGAAATTAAAAATCTCTATAGTCTGGTAATGGAATGACCATTGGATCAGCAGGAGACCAGGGTTCTTGGTCCTGGCCCTGCTAATAACTTGCTGGGTGAAAATGGGCACATCATTTCTCCACAATGGACCTCAGTTTCCTCATCTATAAAATGAGGAGGTTGGACTAAATGATCTCTAAGGTCTCTTCCAGATTTAATCAGATGTACTGTATTTCTACGATTTTCAAATGCATGGGACACTAGCAGCTTTGGAGTCCCCATATCCATAGGCATCACTGAGCTGAAGGGAGGACATAGATACCTTCTGTAAAACTAAAGGAGAAACTCAAAACGTAAAAACAAATGTTAAAACAAAAAAAAAGTTTTAACATGTAATTGGAGAAAAAAATAAAATATATTAAACTAAAAGGAGATCTTTCACAGTCCTCCCAGATGCTAGCTACAGCCTTCCCCTCCCGCTTCCATGTACTCTATACTTATCTTTGCCATACCCAGAGGTGTTTTCATGTTTGCCTCCGTCATCAGAATGTGAACTCTTGACTGTCATGATAATGTAAATAAAAAGGACAATGGATGTTGCAAAATTACAAAGAACAAAGTTGGCCCCAAAAAAGAGATATGTGAGGATACTTCCCTTGACTCAGCTACAGAGGGATGTGTGGTGGCTGGGGGAGAATGGATGTGGCACATTTCACATGGTGCAAGGTTTGTCTGTTTTGGGGTCTTTTTGGATGCATTGATCAGTTTGCTGATTTTATTTCTTTTTCTCCTTTTATCTCCCTTAAAATTTTCTTTGTTCTAAGAGATGCCTCTCTGGGAAGTGGGAGGGATAAAAGGGGGAAGTTTAGGCAATGTTAAAAAAAAAAAAAACAAATGCTATCAATAAGAATGAAAAAAAAAATTTCTTGGATATAGAGACTGATTTTGCCTTTCTTTGCATCTCCAGTGCTTAGCACAGTGCCTGGCATACAGAAACACTTGTGGACTGACTGACTCACTGGTGTACTATGGCACCCGTATCATAGGCAGGTTCTGGACATGAAGTCCAAAAGAAGACTTGGGACTTTTTTAATCCTTCCTAGGCCAACAGAGCCTGAAGGTCATACACAAGTGTTTAATATATCAGCCAACGAGCAAGCCTCTCTAGTGGAACTAAGGAAAAAACAAAATAAAAATCATTGCAACAAGCAGAACTGTCCAGAAGTGGAGTGGGCTGTCTTAGGGAACCCCCCTCACTGCAGATTTTTAAGTGACTTTTAGTGATGCTCCAGAAGGGATTCTTGTTTAGGCTGGACTAAACAACTTCTGGGGACCTTCCCAAGTCTGAGGTTCTATGGTCCTGTGCTTCTGGGAGGGTGTGGTTCTCCTCACAGGTTAGAGTTTGCTCCAAAGCAGCCCAGTTTTCCTTGGTAACGGCAATAACATTTTCCTTTGAGGATGTATCTGCCCTCAGTAGGATTGGATGCACCTGTTGGGAGGGTAATCTCTTCTAACATGTTTCCTTTGGTGGAGGAAGGGGATGGGTGGGGGTCTGGTTGAGTCACTAAGAGCCTAGTGACCATGGCTGTTGTGTAAAACCAGGCTATTTGATGCAAAACAAACCCCAATCCTGGCTTCTTCCCAGAGACTATAAAGTCTTCTCGTAGCAACCCCAAAAGCAAACAATCTCTCCTACCCTTCATTTTATACTAGAAGGTTGTATCACCCAGGGGGAGGCTGTGTAACTACTGCTAACAAGTGACAGAGGGCATCTGAAATTGGGGCTTTCTTCCGGTCAGGATGACTCAGGTTTCCAAGGAAGCCAACAGTCCACAAGGTTGAGATAGTCCTGGGCTGGGGTGGCGAAGCCTCTTTATAGAGACTCATGCTATAAGGACAGGCTCCCACCCAGGACATGGCTCTTTTATTAGTCAGTTTGATCATGATGCTTTCCCTCTGAAATTAGCATCTATCTAGCTCGTAAACACGTACAGTTATTGGCGTGTTGTTTCTCCCATTAGAAAATTAGACCTCTCTAAAACTACTGGTTTTTGTTCTTGTATCCCCAGTGCCTAACACAGCGCCTGGCACATGGTGATTGCTTAATACTTGTTGACTGACTAAATGTCTACAGAAGCCCCTGTAGGGACTATTAGGGACTGTGGGGGTCAGGAAGACCTGAGTTCAAATCTAGCATCTAACACTTACTAGCAGTGTGACCTCCGTCTACCTTAGTTTCCTTAACTATAAATCGGGGATAGGGCAGTTAGGTGGTGCACTGGATAAAGTGCCAGGCCTGGAATCAGGAAGACTAATTTTCCTGAGTTCAACTCTGGCCTCAGACACTTACTAGCTGTGTGACCCTATATAAGTCATTTAACTTTTCCTCAGTTTCCTCATCTGTAAAATGAGCTGGAGAAGGAAATGGCAAACCATTCTAGTATCTTTGCCAAGAAAACCCCAAATAGGGTCACATCTGACTGAAATGACTGAACAATAACAAAAATTGGGGATCATAATAGCACTGACCTCCCAGGGTTGTTGTGAGGATTAAATGATTAAATTAAACATTAAATTAATATTTTAAAGCATTTTGCAAACTTTAAAGTAATATAAAAGTTAGCTTTTTTATAATTTTTATTATAATTATAATAATAATTATAATAATTATAATTATAATTATTTTTTTATAATTTTTTATAATTTTCAGCTCTCCCCTCCCCAAGTTAGGTAATAGACTACTCTAGTCATGTTAGAGATAGAGAGCGTAAAGCCACAAGTATAAGACTATCCACAGGAATTCAGGTCACAGAAGTCAGTTTGTTAGTGCTGGGAGAGACTTCAGTGATCAATGCAGTCTAAATCCCTCATTCTCACAGATAAGGTGAAGACAGGGAGTGATGCCTAAAAGATCACACAAACTAGAAAGTGGGAGAGCCCGGTTTAAAATCCACTTACTTACTTACTACAACCTTCTAACCACTCTTGAGTCAATGGGTCAACAGGCATTTATTGAATGCCTACTATCTATCAGGTGGGCAGCTAGGAGGTACCCTCAGGAGTCAGGAAGACCTGAATTCAAATCAGGCCTCAGACCCTTACTAGCTGTGTGACTCAGGGCAAGTCACTTAATCCTGTTTGCCTCAGTTTCCTCATCTGTAAAATGAGCTGGAGAAGGAAATGGCGAATCACCCATATCTTAACCAAGAAAACCCCATATGGGGTCATAAAGAGTTGGACCTAACTCAAAAATAACTGAACCAAAAAAGTACCAGGTAATGTACTAAGGGCCAGGGATATAAGGAAAGACAAAAGCATGATCTTT